TTTTTTTTTTAAAGATTGACTGATCAGGGCTGAGATTGTGGCTCAGCRGTAGAGCGCTTGCCTAGAACAGGCGGGACCTGGGTTCGAGCCTCAGCACCACATAAAAATAAAAGCCATTGTGTTGTGTCCATCTACGCCTAAAAAAAAATATTAAAAAAAAGATTGACTAATCTCTGCAAAGTAGAAATGGTAAATAGATTAGACATTAAAACATGAGGAACCATTAAAAAAATTTATTAAAAAACTTTWTTTTTGGTACTGGGGAATCAAATGCAGTGCTGCTTTACCACTAAACTACATCTCCATCCCTTTTTATTTTGAGACAGTTGCCAGGTTGGCCTCAAATTTGTGATCCTACTGCCTCAAACCTCCCATGTTGCTGGGATTATAGTTGTGTATACCACTGTGCCTGGATACTGGCAGTGATGTTTGTTTTAAAAACCTACTCTATTCTTGAACTATTATGGACCAAAAACAAATAGCAAAGCATATTACATTTTAAGGCTTTAAAAGAGATTAATGACATTGACCAAACTCTCCCAGTCCTATCATATGAAATTTATTTTAAAATATTTATTGGCTAGGGGCTGAAGTTGTAACTCAGTGGCAGAGCGCTTGCCTAGAGTATATGTGAGACACTGGGTTCAATTCCCAACACCACATATAAATAAATAAATAAATAAATAAATAAATAAATGTCCACCAACAACTAAAAAAATGTAAAAAAAAAAAATTTAGGGCTGGGGTTGTGGCTCAGTGGTAATGTGCTTAACTAGCATGTGTGAGGAACTGGGTTCAATCTACAGCACCACATTAAAAAAAAAAAATAAAGGTATTTTGTGTTCATCTACAACTAAATTAAAAAATAAAAAAAATTCATTGGTTGGAATAAAAATTCTTATTTCCCCAGTCATAAAAGCTATAGCTTCCTAATTTGTTCCACCGTTGCCAATGAAATACATGCCAAATATATCCCTGTCCCTGACAGCATGACAACTCCATTATTTTCGAAGTTTTTAGGTATTATGATACCATAGGGCGAATACATGAAATAATTTTGTCAAGACACTGAGAAATACTGAAGGTGGGTAATGGGTACGTAAGAGTTCTTTATACTATTCTCTTTCTTGTTGGTTTGTTTGAAATTTTCCAAGAAAAACCTTAAAAAAAAATTTCCATAAAATACAAAGGCTCCCATCAACGAAATAAAAATCTTTCCAAGGCTAAAAGATAACATTAGCAAAATCTAATTTATATGCTATTTGCCTTTCTAAAATATAGCTGAAGAATCAGAAGTAAACAAGACAGGTCTCTGAATAGATTCCAGGAAGTCCATGCACTAGAAGCCTCTGAAGTATTTTATTCTGCACTGCTTAAGATTTCAYTCATGGATTAAGTAAACAAAAGAGGAGAGAAAGACATCTAAAACCAGGTACAATGCCAGCCACATAGCAAAGAAGAAAGAACATGGGCCTCTCAAGAGGAAACGACAGGGATCTGAATTCAGCCTCCATTGCTGCTTATTGAACTACGGCAACTCCTAASAGTACTCTGAACTCTTCCTTACCTGTAAAATAGTGGTAGTTCTCATATACTTAGTTCAATAAAAGAAGGTATTATCTTACCAGATGGAAGAGGCAGAAACAATACTACAGTAGATGTGTAAATATTTTGAAATGGTACCATGCGTCATTTAGCCCCTGCTTAGAAAACAAGGCATTAGCATCAATGTACAAACTATAAATTAACTAAACCTGGTTGAAAACAATCTCCATGGTTTCACGGAGGTTAAAACTGATTCCCAAATCCGAYTCAAACTACTCAGTGTATTGATGACAAGGTTGCAATGACAAGGGTGAATTCAGATTTTTCTTGTTTAATTGATTTTATCACTTTGTGTGGGGGAAGATTAAGAAACTTTGCAGAAGATTGCTGTTTGCTTCTCCTTTGAAGAAAAAATAAATCTCATATTTCCTGCTTTGTAGAGTCTTGAAATTCCTCTTATTTCTCATCATAATCATCTTCAAAAGCACTGAGCCTGCAGCTCTGAAGAACCTGATTATCTTTTTTTATAATTTTTTTAAAATTTATTTTTTATTTGTAGTTGGACACAATACCTTTATTTTATATATTTTATTTTTATGTGGTGCTGAGGATCGAACCCAGGGTCCTGCACGTGTGAGGCAAGTGCTCTATTGCTGAGCAACAACCCCAGCCCCAGAACCTAAATATCTTAAAAAATCATTTTCAACATAACTCAAAAATATTTTAAGTTTTTAATATGTATATAAGACATGATGATAGTCTCCATGTCAATCACTGAAAAGACTAGAAGATAGCCAGCCTGTGGGCCAGACAGACACACATCAAACAGCATCAGTATATTGTAATATGAGCATGGAATAAATCAAAAGGTGCTAGAGAGGCAAAGAGAAGACAGTCAAGAAAAACTGTATATTGGGGCTGGGGATGTGGCTCAAGCGGTAGCGCGCTCGCCTGGCATGCGTGCGGCCCGGGTTCGATCCTCAGCACCACATACAAACGAAGATGTTGTGTCCGCCGAGAACTAAGAAAAAATAAATAAATGTTAATATTCTCTCTCTCTCTCTCTGTCCCCCTCTCACTCTCTCTTTAAAAAAAAAAAAAAAGAAAAACTGTATAGTAAGTGAATTTTGAGCTGGATTTGGAAATATGAGTATGAACTCACCAGATGCATGGAGGTGTTGAAATACCCAGAGGCATGACAAAGTATGGGATGCATTAGGAAGACACACAAATTCAATGTGCTGAATGAAGCCCAAGATATAGAGATAGGAAGTATGAAAGGAGTTAATTTGGGAATCACCATTATAAAAGGCCTTATATGTCAAACTAAGAAGAGATAAAAATTGATGTAACTGGTGGAAAAGGAAACAGCAAACAGGAGACTGTGTTGGTTCTTGTCCAAACTCTATCTCCATCTTTACTGTTCTAAATCCCTCTTTACATTTCTACAGAAGAGATTCTTTCTCCTGCAGTGGGTCAGTTAGGCCTGGGRTTGTATTAGGTAACACCTGTGCTCTATGCTGAAACACAGAAGAATCTTGCTTAGATGAGCAATGAAAATTCTGAGGACAGCCAGCTTGTCAACTCTGCTCCTTTTAGAGGGGTATCCAAGGTTTCTCTGTCCTGTGGAGAACACCACAGGACAAACACTAGCAAGGACCAACTCCATCTATCATCTCCCTGTTTGGTGTTAGTCACTACTGACAGGCCCTTTTACATTCCGAGAAATGTGAAGAAGGGGAGCAATTATTGAGGCTTTCAGGCAATTTTATGCTAAGGGTAGTTATGACAGATTAAAACTCCCAGAGTTTGAAACAAGAGGGAGTGAACAGCAAAGTCAAATGCAACAGTGAGGCTGGGTAGCTTAGTGGTAGACCACCTGCTGAGCATGCCCCAACATCAAAAAAAAGCACTAATTGGTCAAATAACTGTGTGGTCAAGAGCAGGAGTGTTCTTAGAATAGATGAAAAATGAGGAAGTCAAAATAAGAATATCACTTCTGTGAAAAAGTTCTGATGATGTAGAGAAGGAAAGGCAGGTCAGCAGCTTGATGGAATAACACAGAAGGAAGCACTGACTAGAATACTGATGAACCTGCCAGAGTAACCACTATTTCCTTAGTTTACTGTTGGTTTTTTGTGGGGAGGAGCAGGAAATCACCTTACTTTGCTGATGTGCTCAGGAGCTTGGTCAGGAGTGTTGCTGAACTCTCCACCAATCTGGAGGTCACTGACACAGCAAATCGAATCCCTCAGTTCGGTAAGCTTTTGACTGCCCAGGACCTGCATCGTCTGGTATGGTTTGTGTTCTTTGTGCTAAAAGTCAAACAGTAAATAAGTAAATGTCTACTTATAGTAAAAGTATTTAAACCAGAAATCCTGTTATAAACAGATCTAAATGAAGTTACTGATTTTCTTAATCCTTATAACTTGGTGTTCTGTTTTCTCAGACTGTGAATTTGTCTGAAAACTTCCATGAATTATATCACCAAACTAATGATAAAAGTTGTTTACAACTCCCCTGTGGCCCACAGCCCATATTCTAAAACCACCTCCTTTGTCTAACCCTCAAACCCAGCCAGTATTTCCCTGGTGCTCTGTCAGTTTAAATTAACCAGGGTTAGGCAGCTGATGACAAGGGCCAGCCTTATGTCCCCAACTCACTGCAATTTCTGAAACCAAAGAGTCCTAAATATTTTCCCTGCCCTACCTGGCTGCTGCTGTAGAAACTCCTGCAGGTTGTGCTCTAGGTCTCCCCTCTCCTTTCTGCCCTCTGTAGCCCTGTGTGGTRCGCCCTCTCTTAGGAAATTTAAGTAATAAACATCTTTCTATGGCTTTAATCTCTTTCTCAATCACCTCCGCAAATTAAAATCCCATGAGAACAATTGAAATACCTGGCCACAGAATYCTTCTAGTTTAAGTGTATGATCAAGATGCCACTAAGCTGATTCAAGGATTAAGAGCCTACAGAATGTAACTTTATCTGCCACATCTATCAGCTTCGTCTTTGAAATTTTCCTACAGGTTGTAACACTGAAGTCAAGCACTCAGRTTATAAACCCAAAAGTTTTATTTTTTTAAATGGTAATTTGAGATACTAATCAAATAAGGTAATTAGTATTAAGTACACTCCAGACACTTCATAAAAGCCTGTTTATTTATAAGTACAACGTATGCATAGCAATATTTCTCTCTCTTTTGTTTTTTTTTTGGTACAGGTGATTGAACCCAGGTCACCTGATCACTAAACTAAATGCCCAGTCCTTTTGATTTTGAGATAGGATCTCACTAAGTTGCTGAAACTGGCCTTTAACCTGTGATATTCCTGCACTGGCCTCTCAAGTCACTATGATTACAGGCACGAGCCATCATGGACAGCTGAACAGTAATATTTCAATCAGAGTTTAGGACACATTTGAGGAATCAAGAATATGTACTCATGCCAGATGTAACATACCTGTATGTAATATCAGCTACTTAGAGATTGAGGTAGTAAGATCACAAGTTCAAGACCTGCCTGGGCAACTTAGCAAGACCCTACCTCAAAATAAAAAGGGCTGGGATGACACTGAGTGGTAGAGCACYATTTCATTCCCCAGTACCAAAAAAAGAAAAGAAAAAAAAAAAAAATTCATTGAGGCCAGGCACCGTGGTGGCACATGCCTCTAATCCCAGAGGCTTGGGCTGGAACAGGAGGATGGCAAGTTCAAAGCCAGCCTCAGCAACGATGAGGTGCTAGTCAACTCAGTGACACCCTGTCTCTAAATAAAATACAAAATAGGGCTGGGGATGTGGCTTAGTGGTTGAGTGCCTCTGAGTTCAATCCTTGTTAGCAGGAAAAAGGGGGAAAAAAAAGGAAAATAAAATTAACTGAGTAGGTACATATATATAATGGAATATTACTCAGCCACAAAGAATAATGAAATTATGACACTTGCCAGTAAATGAATGGATTGTAGACTATCATGCTAAGTGAAATGAACCAATCTTGCCAATCCTAAAAAACCAAAGGCCAGGGCTGGGGATGTGGCTCAAGTGGTAGCGCGCTCGCCTGGCATGCGTGTGGCCCAGGTTCGATCCTCAGCACCACATACAAATAAAAGATGTTGTGTCCGCCAAAAACTAAAAAAAAAAAAAAAAAACTAAAAAATTCTCTCTCTCACTCTATCTTTAAAAAAAAAAAAAGAACCACTGTGGATTTATATATACTTTCAGTTGCTTCTAGTAAAGAGATCAGGTATGCATTCCAAGCCTATAATTATAATCAAGAGATTGTTTGAAATTTGACCTTATTTCTATCATTCCTCATTAAAACAACAACAACAACAAAAAGCCAAGAATATGGATTGTCAGCTCTAAAAATAATATGCCAAGAGACAGCATATGCTTATGTTTATTTTGAAGCCTAAGGAATGTGACTCTGAATAATTAAACCCTTTGTGAAAAGTTACCTGTAGAGAGGCTGGGGGTATATAGCTCAGTGGCAGAGCGCATGCCTAATGTGTGCAAAGCCTTGAGTTCAGTAAGCACAATAATCCAAAAACAATTTCCATGAAATTCAAAAGGTTTTACTACTGACCTTATGAAATATAACAGGATACAAGATATTCACAGACAGGATAAGCTCTCCTTCCTCAATCATGTCGGCTGAATTTTTAGGTTTTTTCCCCATAGCATGTGACTCCTGAAGAAAAAAATATGGAGACCTTGAAGTCAAATACTATAACTCAGATAAGAGGTAGTATGGTACAATGTTTAGTAGCAAAGGCTTGAGTCAAACAGCTCAAAGTTTTAATCTCATCTATGAAAAAACAGAAAATATTTATTTCGTAGAACTGTTGCTGGCAATGTGACATAAATCACCTAAGTAGGGCTAGGGATGTAAATCATTGGTAAAGACCCTGGGTTTGATCCTCAGATATCTCTCTATCTCTCTCTCTCTCTCTCTCTCTCTCACACACACACACACACACACACACACACACACACACACACAGAGGCAGGATTGAACTGGAATCCCTAAGGTAGCCACTAGAAAATACCTACAATATATATAGAAAAGCAGAGAATCAAAATGGCACACCACAAAAATTCTATACATAACATGAAAGTACATAAGACATACAAATAGTTAACTGGCAGAAGTAAAGTGTTCCTTATTAGTAATTAGTTCAAATACAATGGATTAATAAACTTTCCTATTAGAAAGGCACATTGGTAAAATGGATTTAAAAGCCTTGATGGGAGCGGAGTGGTAGACACCTATAATCCCAAGAGCTCAAGGCTGAGGCAGGAGRATTGCAAGTTCAAAGCATCAGCCTCAGCAATTTGGCAAGACCTTGTCTCTAAATGAAAAATATAAAGAGCTGGGGATGCGGCTCAGTGGTTAAGTGCCCCTACGTTCGATCTCTGGTACAAAAAAGAAAAACCTTGCTTCTCTCTACGTTGTCTAAAAGACACTCACTTTAGAAACAGATTGGAAAGTTCAAAAAAAGTATATCCCATGTAAATAATAAACAAAAGACAGTTGTTGCTGGAGATATATATATATATATCATACACACACACACACACACACATATATTTTTTGGTCAGAGGAAAACAAATTTCAAGCCAAAAGATTATAAGAGACAAAGAAGAGCATTATGTATTAATAAAGGTACCATCCAGCTAAGCACAATGGTACACCTATAATCCCAGTGACTTGGGCGGCTGTGGCAAGAGGACCACAAGCTTGAGACTAGCCTAAGCAACTAAGTAAAAAAAAAAAAAATTGAAGAAACAGTTCTACAATAATGGTTAGAAATTTCAATACTTCACTTAGAGTTACAAGACAGAAGATTAATAAAGAAGTAGAAGAGGGGCTGGGGATGTGGCTCAAGCGGTAGCGTGCTCACCTGGCGTGCGTGCGGCCAGGGTTTGATCCTCAGCACCACATACAAACAAAGATGTTGTGTCCGCCAAAAACTAAAAAGTAAATACTAAAAATTCTCCCTCTCTCTCTCTCTCTTTAAAAAAAAAAAAAGAAGTGGAAGAAGTGAACACTTTAAACAATTTGACCTAATAAGACATATACAAAACTCTTCATTCAACAATAGAAGAGAGAGATTAAAAAGGAAATAACACAGAGTGGAGATAAATGAAACAGAAAACAGAAAAATGATATAGGAAAAAAAAATCAACAAAAATAAGTTGATTTCTTTGAAAAAACATCAAAACTCTTACTGACTGATTAAAAAGAAAGAAAGAAGCCTCAAACTATTAAAATMATTACTACTGATTTCACAGAAAAAGAATTTTTTCCCCCCTTGGCAGTACTGGGGAACGAACCCAGAGTACCCTACCACTGAGTTGCCCCTCAGCCCTAATTTTTATTTTATGACAAGGTGTCACCAAGTTCCTTGAGATTCTCTTGCCTTAGCCTCTTGAGTGGCTGGTATTATTGATGTGCACCACCATGCCTGGCAGAAAAAGAAGAATATAAAAGAAAAGTTTGAACTCTCGGGTTTGGCGCTGGGGCTCAGTGGTAGAGCACTTGCCTGGCATGTGAGAGGCACTGGGTTTGATCCTCAGCACCGCATATAAATAAATAAACAAAATAAAGGCATGCTGTCCATCTACAACTACAAAAGGAAAGTCCAGGACCAGAAAACATGACTATGTGAATTCTACAAAATATTTAAGGAAGAATTAATACCAAATGTTTCTCAGGCTCTGCAGAAGAAATCTGAAAAGGACTGAACTCCTCCTAACTCATTCTATAGGCCCAGAATTACCCTGACACCACAGCCAAAGATCCCACAAAAAAAGAAAACTACAGGCCGACATCCCTTATGAATATAAATGCAAAAATCCTCAACAGAATACTAGACACAATTCAGCAGTATATTTAAAGGATTATACACTACAATCAAGTGGGATTTGTTCTTAGGATGTAAGATAACATAGCAAATCAATCAATATAATACACCATACTCACAGAGTAACAAGGAAAAAAGCATATCACCTCAACTGATGTAGAAAAAGTCTTTTACAAAACATAACATTGCCTTGTTTTTAGTTTGGTCTTTTTCTCTCAAATGCTGTATCAGCTAGGAATCAACACAATACAAAAGGTCATATACATCWTATTCAATGGTGAAAGACAAAACCTTCCCCCTAACATCAGCAACAAGACAAATGTGCACTCTTCCTACTTGTACACAACACAGTACTGGAAGCTTTAGCCAGAGGAATGGGGAAAGCAGTGAGAAAGATAGGAAGAAAAATGACCAAACTGGAAAAGAAAAAATAGTTATATCTCTGTTTGCAGATGACAGATGACACAGTCTTGTACAAAACCCTGAAGAATACACACACACACACACACACACACACCCAAAACCAATCAAAACACGGCTAATAAACAAATTCATCAAAGAAGCTAGATACAAAATCAACACCCCTTTAAGACAATGTACTAAATAAGCCATATAGAAAAGGACAAACATTGTATGACTCCACTTATCTGAGGTACCTAGAATAGGCAAATTCATAAAAATTTAAAGGAGAAGAGTGGTCACCTGGGGCTATGAGAGGGAGACTTGTGAGTTATTGCTAATGGGTATGGAATTTCGTCTGGGATGATGAAAAAGTTCTGAAAACAATGGCGATGACTACATACTTTTATGAAATATACTTAATGTTATTTTATTGAACACTTAAAAGTGGTTAAAACAATAATTTGTATGTTATGTTAAATTCTACCATAATTTAAAAAAATAAAGTGGGAGAAACAATTCCTGCCYTTCTGCACTATCAAGTGCCCAGCACAGAGTCTGACACATGGCAAGTGCTGAGCTCAGTGTGTCTAGTAGCTTCTAATTCCTCAATATTCATCTTCTTAAATTTTTCTTAGGGTTTTATACATGACATAATGAATTAAGAGTGTGGTTAAAGTAAAATCAGAAACAGAACAAAAAGGGCAGGAACAGGATGGTAAAAAGGACAYAAATATAGCATTCGTGAGAATAAGACCAAACCAAAAGCAGAGATAAAGGGAGCCATCTGAGTCAAGTATGTGCTTAACTGAGTTCTTTTGAGTCCTTTTCTCTAACTAGTTCTTAGTCTCAATGGAGTTTGTTTTTCAACTAAGCACATCTAATACAAAGCTACCATAYAGTCATTACTAATAGCATCCAATGACTGAGTTGAGTGTTTCTTGGGAAACACCAGTAAAAAAGATGAGAGTCTTACCATCTCATAAGCAAATGTTTCTTGTCTGCAAACACGATCTATCGTTATGGTTTCTTCCCGATGTTCCAGGAACCTCTTTCTAACCCTGTTGTAGATACACAAAAAAATCAAAGTTTAACATTCTTTTCTGGGACTTCAAAAAAATAAAAATCTTTTTAAACTTCTTATTGTAGACTAGTTTAAGACAAAGAGAAGTTGCAAAAACAGTACAAAGAGTTCCTTTATATCTCTTGCCCAGCTTCCCCTAAGTTAACATCCTATATGATTAAACAAGGATCAAGAATAGGACAATAACATTAATGTAACATTATTAACTACAGACCTTTTCCAACCTTCACACAATTTAATTCAATGACTCTCCGTTGCCCATTCCAGATTCCTACTCAGGATCCCACAGGCATCACTTATTTTTCCTTCCTCCCCTTGAGTCTGTCCTGAGACAGGAAGGAAATATACATATGTATGCTAACTCAAGCCTGCACAAGGAACTGTATTTCTATAATATATTTAAAATCAAGAGCTGGGTGTGGTATATACACCTGTAATTCCAGCTATTCTGAAGGCTGAGGTAGGAGAATCACAAGTTCAAGGTCAGCCAGGGCAACTTAGCAAGTTCCCATCTCAAAATTAAAAAATAAGCCAGGTGTGTGGCACATACCTATAATCCCAGTGACTAAGRAGGCTGAGGCACAAGAATCACAAGTTCAAGGCCAGCCTYAGCAACTTAACGAAACTGTCTCAGAATAAAAAACTGAAAAGAAACAGGGAGACAGTTCAGTGATAAAAGTGACCCTGGGTTCAAACCCCAGTACCAAAAAATAAATAAAAATTTAAAGGATCAAGAATGTAACTCAACARTAGAGCATTCCAGGGCCTAATCGCCAGTTTGGGGTATAAATGAGGGAGTTCAAACTAAAACCACAGGATTTAGCCTTCTTTGTTTTTAACTTCTTTTTCCTCAAGAGAGAAACCCAGCTCTCACGATTGGCAATCTACTTATTAGTTTAATTCTAGTAAAAATAAATCCCATGAATCCTATAAGAAAAACTAACTCATGAACAGTTCTTTTTGTCCTCGGTCTTACATCAGTACAGAGATTTCCTTATGTAGTAGACTTAAGTTAATTCCTTCTTTCCCCTCCTCTTCAGTGTTGGTACATTATTCATTTGGAATAGAGTTAGGTTCATTTGTTAGACTTTTTTATTCTATTTTGGGGCCCCCCTTGTACATCTTGGTTGGTTTTGTCTGATTACTTTTGGGGTATGCGAGATGTAAAACTACTATAGCTTGAAARAGTCAGAGGTGTCAAGCCTTCTTTGTCCTTAGTAACCTGATCCCATTTTCTTTCTTCTTTTTGCCCCTTTCCCACCTGCCTCCTACAGGCAATCAATCATTATACTTCTGGTTTATCCTTTCCATTTCTTTTTTGTTCAAATACCTGTGTTTTTTTAATTTTAGCTTCTTCTATATCATTCTGATTTAATTAGGAGGAAAAAACCGAACAGTAATTTGAACAGAGAAAGCTTAATCTAAGTATTATTAAGTTTAACCAAAGACTGGAATAAAGAGGGATTTGCAAGGAAGCAAAGGGAATTGTAGACAAAAGGAACACCCTACTYCTAGCGCTGAGTAAGAAGGCCCAAGAAGTCCTTTTCTCCTCTAAGGACTAAGATCCAGAACTAGTGCAGGAGACCTGGCTATGACTCAACGAATGGAAAAAAAAAAAAAGTTGCTGCAGTGCTATATCAGTGGATCTTGCTGGAAATCCACCTTTAATGGTGCCCAAAAAAAAAAAAAAAACTGTTTAAGGAAGTGGGTGGCAGGGAAAAACTGCAGTGCACTGCAGGGGCTGGGCACTGGGGAAGCTACGTGCACTGTGGGATCATGCTGAGCCAGCACATCAGATCCCTCAAGTGCCCCAAGGTCTCTTCATTGCCCTTTTTCACTGGAACAGCTGAACAATGCGCCAGTTCCCAAAGGAAAAATATTAAGGGGTCATGGTCTATTTTTACAGAACAGGCAATAAAAATGTAAATTTACAGATGAGAACCAGTGAATTATACCCCGCACATCATTTTGCATGAAGGGTGGCATCTGCTTTGGGYTTTGCTTTCTTCACTTACTATAAATCCTCTCTAGAAATCATTCTCTGGGTTCATCCTTCTTCATCATTTATTATAGCTGCAAAATATTCCACTGTGTGAATCTCCCAGTGTGTTCGATACTCTTTTATGTATGTGGAGATAAGTTATTTCAAATATTTCACAACTGCAAACAATACAAATAACCTTATACACATTTACTTCCTTATTGCTGGAGGGATATCTTCAGTATAGATTGCTATAAGTGGGACTGCTGAGTCAAAAGGGAAGTGCATATAGGTTGGATCGATTTGCATTCTCATCAGCAATGTTTGAAAACACCGGTTTCCCACAGCCTTATCAAAATAATGCATATTTTAAAATTTACGGTCACCGATAGGCTAGTAAAGGCAACTCAATGCAGTTTTAATTTTCACTTCTCTAATGAGTATGGTAGATAGAAAATTTAAAAATGTTTGTCAATTTCATTTTTAAACTTGTTGTGCAGGAAATTAAACCCAGGACCTTGTACATGCCAAGCAAATGCTCTACCACTGAGCTACATTCTCAGACCCTACTTTTATCTTTGTGTGTGTGTGTGTATGTGTGTGTGTGTGTGAATTATTAGTTTGTGTCTTTTTTTGCCTCGACTATTAGCAGTTAGTTCCCACATATTAGGAATATTACCTTTTTTGGGGTGTGTTTACGGTGCTGGGGATTGAACCCAGGGCCTTGTGCATGCGAGGCAAGTACTCTCCCAACTGAGCTATAACCCCAGTCCACGAATATTAGCTTTTTATGGTGCATATTATAAATATCTTTTTCTAAGCTTGACAGCTGTTTTGGACTTCATGGGTTTTTGGTTTTTTGCCATGAAAAGATTTTTAATATTAGGTAGTCAATTTTATCAATTAAAAAAAGTTCCTCAGGAKCTGGGGTTGTAGCTCAGTGGTAGAACAAACACTTGCCTAGCATGTATGAGGTACTTGGTTTGATTCTCAACACCACATAAAAATAAATAAAATAAAGGTCCATCAACAATTAAAAAATTTTTTAAATGGATAAAATAAACATTTAAAAAAATTCCTCTGAATTTCAATCAGTTTTATTCCACTAAGGTTTGTATGTTTCGGACTCTACATATATTTTGATCTCTAATCTGTTTGGARTATGTTCTTGGGAAGAGTGTCATACTTAACTTTATTATGTATTTTACTAACTCGGGACTTTATTGTGCTTTGTTGAACAATTTGTCTATTCATAAGCCAATTCCCATTGCTGTAATTTAAAAAGTCTTAAGTGTATTTTATTATCTAATAAAACCACTACTCTTTATAATTTCCCTTCTACCCCAAATTTTCTTAGGTCTTCTTCCATGTYTTCCATATGAACTTTATTATCAACTTGTCTAACTCCATAAAATAATTTTTATTATTAACAATACTTTTATTGGTATTACATTAAGTTTATAAATTTTAACTCAGAAAGAAAAGACTCATTGTGTTTAGTCTTCCTATCCAAGAACAGGGAGTATCTTTCATTTATTCAAGTGTTCTGATTCTTTTGGCAGTGTCTTAAAATTTTCCTCTATACATAATTTTWATATACTTCTTGTTAAATATATTTGTAAGTATTTGACTTTTTGCAATTGCAAATGACATTTTCTCTACTATTATGTCCTCTAACTGCATTTTTTCCAATATATGAAGGCTATTTTTTCCTTTTCTTTTTTATCTTTTTTTGCAATACTAGGGATTGAACCCAGGCCCTTACACACACTGAGCAAATGCTCTATCACTCAACTACATCCCCTTTATTTATTGAGACAGGGTCTCACTAAGTTGCCCAGGCTGGCCTTCAGCTTATGATTCTCCTGCCTTAGCCTCCCAAGGAGCTGGAATATCAGAAATGAAACACTGTACCYAGCAAGGCTATTGATTTATATATATCAATTTTGTATTCTTCTCTTTCACTAAATCTCTTAGTTTAGTTTTAGCATTAATTTCTTTTGAGATTTTCCAGGTACACTTGTATCATCTACAGATGGAGTTTTTACTTCTTTTAAAAAAAAATATTTATTTTTTAGAAATAATTGGACACAATACCTCAATTTTGTTTGTTTATTTTTTTATGTGGTGCTGAGGATTGAACCCCAGGGCTTGCACGTGCTAGACAAGCGCTCAACCACTGAGCCACAATCCCAGCCCCTAGTTTTTACTTCTTTACCTACTCTTATATCTCTAATTGATTTTTCCAGTAAACTGCAACAGCTAATACCTGCAGGAAAATGTTGCAAAGTAGTGGCAATAGTGGGCATGCTTGCCTTGTTACAGATCTTAGTTGAAATTCCCGGATTACTTCTCTATTGAATAAGACACATGGTTTACAACTAAGTTACATGTATTTCACCATGTCAGAACAGCATCCTTCCGATTTCTATTTCCTTGAATGTTTTATAAGGAATAGTGTTAAATGTTTTTAAGCCTCTCAGCATCTCTGGAAACAAGTGATTTGTTCTTTAGACTTCATATTAAACCAAACTTSCATTCCTGAAATAAATCCCACTTGGAAATAGTATAGTCTTCTTAATATAGTGTTGGATTACCTGATATTTTGTGTTGAATAACACTGGTATCAAGTTTTCTTTCACTGTACTGTCCCCATCTAGTTTAAGCATCAGTGCCATGTCTGCTTCATAAAAATAATTAAGCTTTTCTTGAGCTGGGTGCAGTGGTACACACCTGTTATCTCAACTATTAGGGAAGCTGAGGCAAGATCACAAATTCAAGGTAGGCTTAGGCAACTTAGCAAGACCTTGCATCAAAAAATAGCCAAATAAATAGACAGGCTGGAAATATAGTTCAAAGGTAGAATACTTGCCTAGCATGCATATAACCCTGGGTTCAACCCTTATACCATCAAAAAGATAAAAGTGTCTTTCTTCAAGGTTTTGGAGCATTGGGACTGGTCTCTGATATACTTTTGTTCAACTCTTTTATTTTYA